TTTCTCATCTTATACAGATGCCTTTGTGCTTTCTTTTTTTTTTTTTGCTGTGGCTTTACTCATGCTTTTAGGAAGTGTTGAATTAAATTACAGTTTTTGTCGTGTATCTCTTGATGTCCTCACTCGGTGGTTCATGTTGTGGGGAGCTTGCAAAGGAGTTCGTCGATTTTGTTAATAAGGCTTGTACCCCATTTCACGCTGTCGAGGTTCTTTCTTCTTGGTTGGTCTCTGCCGGGTACAAAAAGCTTGTCGAGGGTCAGGTGTGGCCTTCGGTTGTGCGAGGCGGCAAGTATTTCGTCACCAGAAATGACAGCAGTCTGGTGGCCTTTTCTGTCGGTGGCAAATTTGAACCTGCAAACGGGATAAAGATTGTTGGGGCTCATACGGACTCACCCAATTTGGCATTAAAGCCACGAACAAAGGTGGACAAAGGAGAGTATCAAGGCGTTGCAGTTCAATGCTATGGTGGGGGTCTATGGCATACCTGGTTTGACCGTGATTTGACGGTTGCCGGTAGAGTTTTTATTTCTGAATCAAAGCTTGAAAAACGTCTGGTGAATTTGCAGAGACCTATCATGCGAATACCATCCCTTGCAATTCACCTTGAAACTGCCCAAGAACGTGAATCATTTGCACCAAACAAGGAAAAGCATCTGGCTCCTATAATTGCCACAAACATTTCGGGCTCACTGACTGGAGAAAAAGAGCAGAAGCATAGTCTTCATCTTATGAAGTTAATTGCGGATGCCTTGAATTGTAAACCAGAGGATGTTGTAGATTATGATTTGAGTGTTATTGATACTCAGGAGGCAACAGTTGGAGGTGCATCTAATGAGTTTATATTTGCCCCGCGATTGGACAATCTCATCTCATGTTTTTGCGGTATCAAAGCCCTTCTTAGAGGGGACAGAAATCTTGAAACTGACGACATGATACGGATGGTTTGTCTCTTTGACAACGAAGAAATTGGCTCCGCATCTTCTCAGGGAGCTGGTGGAACCATTATCCCTGATATTATTGAGTATATTATTGGTTCAAAAACACTGCGTTCCACACTCGTAGCAAACTCCTTCTTACTTTCAGTGGATGGGGCTCATGCGCTTCATCCAAATTATAAGGATAAGCACGAAGAGAATCACCGGCCACTTCTCCACCGTGGGCCCGTTATTAAGTATAACGCAAATATGCGCTATGCCACAAATGGTGCCACCGCTGCAGTGATCAAATCGATTGCTAAAAAGGCGTCCATACCATTGCAAGAATTTTGTGTGAAGAACGACTCCCCGTGTGGCTCAACAATTGGTCCCATTCTTTCATCTTTGTCTGGGATCCGAACTGTTGATATTGGGAATCCTATGCTAAGTATGCATAGCGTACGTGAAATGTGCGGGACGCAGGATATTTTACATTTGACAAACCTTGTTGAGGAATTTTTTACCCAGTATAATAGGGATATGATATCGTGATAAGCTTTTTTTTGCCTTGATAAGGCAAATATTGTAATTGTTCACGCTTTTCATCTTGTAAACAAAGAAAAAAGAACCAATCTGCAGTCCTATTTTACTAAATTTCCTTATTTCTGTTTCTTTTCTCATCTGAAAAGCGTATCACTTAGAAATTATGGGTCGCTTTAAGCCTCTCGCCGTCAAAAAGAAGTATGCCAAGAAGCTGAACCAGAACAGGCCTGTTCCATACTGGATTCGTCTGCGTACGGGGAATCGCATCAAGTGGAATGAGAAACGTCGCCACTGGCGTCGCACCAAGCTTCACTATTAAGGTTATGGCGCAATTTCAAGCATACGCTCTGTTTCTTTAATGTTCCGTTAGTTTTCTTTAACTTTCCCTTTTCTGGTTATTTTGAACTAGGTATTCGATAAAATACGTGTCAGAAAAATCTATTTGTATATGTCTTCTTTTCTCTTTTTGTCTACATCTAGAAGATTGCACATTTGTTGACGACATGGCAGAACTAGCTGGGACTGGGGCTCGTGTTCAGGTGACTGTTCGCATTTGTCCTTCGCGGTCGGGTGACAAGGTGGTTGTACACGATGACCCTGATGACAAGCGAGCCATTGTGATCGAAGAGGATGGGAATAGAGGTGGAAAAATGTTCAAGTTTGACCGGGTGTTCACTAAGGGTCAGGATGAAGTGTATGAGTCAATTGGAAAGTCAATGCTGAAGGAGGCGTTTGAAGGTTTTAATGTTTGTCTTTTCGCGTACGGCCAGACCGGAAGCGGAAAGACACACAGTCTGTTCGGCAACTTGAAGAGCAAAGACGGTCGTGGTATTGCCCCACGCTTTGCACAGGATATGATGGAGGAGGCACAACTCCGCGTGGAGGCAGATAGTGGGGCGACAATCAAGTTCTTCGTGACGATGGTGGAAGTGTATATGGAGAAGGTGCGCGACCTCCTTGCTCCCCGGGTGCGGGGTCAGGAGCCGGAGGCGCTCGAGATTCACGAGGACAACCAACACCGCGTGTACGTAAAAGGTGCCGGGGTGCACCCCGTGCTTAGCATGGAGCGAATGCAGGAGTTGCTCCGGATAGGTAACGCAAACCGGCAGGTTGGAGAGACAAAGATGAATGAAACAAGCTCACGGTCGCATGCCATCATTCAAATCACCATTTCTCAAAAGTACGAATCCCTAGAGATGCGAGATGTAGAGAGTGTGGTTTTACTTGTGGACTTAGCAGGAAGTGAGCGTCAGAGCAAGGCAGAGTCTACGGGCATCGCGTTTGAGGAGGCCAAAAAGATTAATCAATCCCTCCTTATGCTTGGCCGTGCAATGAACTCGTTTAGCGAACGAAAAGGAGGCGATGCCTTCATATCGTTGCGTGCGTCCAAACTCACGCGATTGCTGTCAGAAAGCTTTGGTGGAAATAGTAAGACATGGATGCTTGCAACGGTATCGCCCGCCGCATTTAATTTGACCGAGACTATATCTACATTGGAGTATGCTCAGAACGCAATGGCCATCACTAACAAAGCGAAGGTGAATAAGGCAGCCAAGATCTTAGAATACGATGAGCTGCAAAAGCTTGCATGGCTGCTACAGGTACGTTTGGATGACGAGAACCGGGGTATTTTGGCATTGGAGAGCCAGAAAAAAGGTTTACAGGATGAGATATCGTCTATGAAGAACGTATTGGCAGTTGCTAGCAACTCAAAGATTGAGACAGAGCTGAAGGATGGCCTTAAGGAGCGGGAGAAGCTGCTGGTGCAGCTGGGAGAAGCTTTGTGTGGTCGTGTTAGGGAATCGAGTTCACAAGCACCCCTTGTCTGTTTTTCGGGAACGTGCAAAACTTCACTGGCAAACATATCGTTCGGATCCTACCAAGTGACTACCCTTGTTGTACCGTGCTACAGTTTGGCGGGACCGCCTCCACTATTGGTATGCCGTATTCACCTATATCTAACGGAGGACAATTCTGTTGCAGTCCTTGTTCGCCTCCAAGAGTTGCATCACCTTCCAGATTATGCCATGGGGGGTGCCCGGGTAACCATGTGGTTTGATGGTCACGCATCCTGCGCTGTACAAACGCCCATTGTGGGGTCAAACAAAGGTAACCCTCAGTTTTCCCTCAAACAGACGTACTTGTTTGGCCCACTGACTGAAGACCTTCAGCAGTTTTTTCAGTTAGACGTGTTAAACTTTCGTGTCGACGGAATTATGTCGGATGACGCCTTCTCCGGTTTTCGCACAACAGGTGCGGCATAATTGAGATGGTCGTCACAAGGTGTTTGCATATCATCGTTATATGTGTCGTCGTTCGTGCTACGGGCAATTATCTTTTCCTTGTCGATTATGATCTCTGCGTGGTAGATCGTATTAACAAGGATTTGAGCGAACGAGAAAAGGATACTTACCATGACAGCACTTCAGTTCTTTTTTTCTTTGTTATTGTCTTTTGAAAGGGGCTTGCTAAGTGCATCTATGGTAGAACTTGCTGGAACTGGGGCTCGTGTTCAGGTGACTGTTCGCATTTGTCCTTCGCGGTCGGGTGACAAGGTGGTTGTACACGATGACCCTGATGACAAGCG